GGGCTGGGTGCGGGCTGGGTGCGGGCTGGGTGCGGGCTGGGGACGAAGTGTCGGGGTGCCCAGGCCGCCCTCTCGCCCCGACGCGACTCCAGGGGCGGGGCCGGGACGGACCCCACACGGCGACTGACGGGTAAGGCGCGCCAGGCACCTGCCGCCTCAGCCGCGGCTGGTCGGGGAGGGCTCTGCTCTCACCTCTTCGATTCATGGGCCGGATCCGGACCGCCACTTTCACTTTGGAGTCTCCCATCCTCGCCGCCCCTCGGGTTCGGCCTGCCGCGGCCACTGGCAACTCTTCTGGGCTGACCCCGCGGGAGGGGGCCAGGAGGGCGGGGCTTATCCGGGGGCGGGGCCTGTATTCGGTGGGCGGGGCAGGTCGCAGAGCTCCGGGCTCTCCCCTGCTGCATGACGGGACTTGTAGTCCTGAGGGTCGTCGTGGGCAGAGCTGGGCGAATAAGGTCCGGCGAGAAAAGGCGGAGCGCGCTTCGCTCTCTGGAACTTGTAGTCAACAGTTGAGGCTGTTGTAAATGCCACACCTTTCTCACCCTCCCGCTTAGTGTTGAGATATAAACTATCACTGAGACAATACCACACCTGAAAACAGTTGAATAGATGACATCAGAGACGCTGTTACCTCTTCATACTCATTTCCGGACAATCTTAGTCTTTGATCCCTGGCACAAAGTGTTTGCTCTACTTGAATTGCCCTCCCAGCCTCGTTTGCTAAACTCATCCTTCAAGGCAAGTCAAAAGTCACCTCTTCTGGAAGAATTAATAAATTCACAGGTTAACCTTACGGCTCGCCACTTTGAGTCGTAGACCTAGGGCTACGGAACTGACTTGAGTTCAAATCCCACCTCAGTTATGTGCCAGCGGGCAAGTTATGTGGCTGCTCTGTGCATGTCTTTTCATACGTAAAATAGAGACAATAATAAACTAAACCTGCTGCCCTCGATTCGATTTAGTGAGCCTATAGGACAGAGTAGAACTACCCCATATGGTTTCCACAGCTGAAATCTTTGTGCCACCAGAGCTTCTAGAGATAGTAACAGTGCCTATTTTATAGGATTGTTGTGATGCTGGAATGAGTTAATGCATGTAAAACTACCTGGCACATGGAAAGTTCTTAATAAATGTTAGTCGTTATTATTACTTTTGTTCTGTTATACCGTTTGTGCTACAACTGTTTACGTGTCTCTCCGTTCATGTAGTTTTTAAACGGTATCTTATTTATCTGTGTATCCTCTAACAGTTCCATTCCTAGCATGTAATAGAGATCCAATGAGCATTTATTACATGAGTGAATTAATGAATGAATAAATACATGAAGCCACACTGAAATTAACTCTTTATTAAGCCCTGGGACACTGCTAACTGGTGCCCTCTGGGCCATGTCTATCCTGCAAACATGTTCTCTTTGGCCTGTCAATAATGGCCAACACATAAAACTCAGGAGATTTGTACATGCCATATTGGAACTACGTTACAGATTGGTAGTAGTGGATGGGAACAGAGTAACAGTGGCCACTTTAAAAGAGGCAAGTTTCTCCATTTCACCATAGCCCCCATCCAGCCTGATTTACCACTTAACTAACCCCTTGGACCCTACGGGTATGTAACCCCTGCTTAGACATGTGTAAATGATAATACAGAACTCAGAACCATTTTACAGATGAGTAAGTATGAGTCGGAATAGAGTCAACAGCAAACTACAACAAATACAGATTTGCCTTTTGTCATGGATTGAATTGTGTCCTCCAAAAATATCTGTAAACTTGGCTACATCATGATTTCCAGTATTGTATAATTGTCTAACATTTTATCATCTGATGTGATTTTCCTATGTGTTGTAAATCCTATCACTATGATGTTAAAGAGATGGATTAGCAGCAGTTATGTTGATAAGATCTACAAGATTAGATTGTGTCTTAAGCCAATCTCTTTTGAGATATAAAAGAGAGAAGGGTAGGGGGGTGCCTCATACCACCAAGAAAGCAGTGCCAGGAGCAGACCGTGTTCTTTGGTCCTGGGGTTCCTGTGCAGAGAAGCTCCTAGTCCGGGGGAAGATTGATGACAAGGATCTTCCTCGAGAGCCAACAGAGAAAGCCTTCCCCTGGAGCTGATGCCCTGAATTTGGACTTCTAGCCTACTAGACTGTGAGAGAATAAACTTCTGTTTGTTAAAGCCATCTACTTGTGGTATTTCTGTTATAGCAGCACTAGATGACCAAGATGCCCTTTTACCCACTGTGCTGTTGTTGAAAGAGCTTCAATACAAGTTGAGTTGTCAAAAAGGTCAAAAAGAGAAAATGCTGCCCCAGAAGGCCCTCTGTAAAAAAAGAAGGGTGGGGGGCTTTTTCTTTGGGACACTTCCTCTGAGGTTCAAGGGGACCATCTCAGCAGGAGAAGTAGGGTTTAATGTAGTAGGGCCAGGCTTTTTTATTTTTACAGCATAATAAAATAAACAAAAAAAGGAAAAGCAATTTAGAGTTGGCAACTTTTTAATTCTACCATGTAAATTCTTTAAAAATAATGCACAAAACAATTGCTATCTACCATCACTAGCATTCCTTTAAAAAAAGAAAAGTCATAAGGACATGTATTTATATTGAAATAATTTGACTTGATGAAAAAGTCACTACTGTCTTCCTTTTTGTTTTGTTTTTGTTTTTTGGTCCTTTTTGCTCCTATTCAGTGTTGAAGAACCTTGGGTAGGCTGAGGAAAACAATTTTGCCCTATCTTTGTATGATCATCACTTAATAATAATGATATATTGAGAACTTACTATCTACCAGACAGTGTCCTAAGCATTTACATGTGTTAACTCATTCAATCCTCACAGCAACTCTGTGAAGCAGTTATTATTATTATCCCTGTATAGCAGATGGAGAAACTGAACACCTAAGCAATTTACTCCAGGTACAATTGTGCTACTGTGATGTGACCTCCCCAGTAGACAATCTTTCATGATGGAAGGAGTGTGTGAGCAGATTGTTCAGTCCATAGAAATTAGCAAGATCTCTGGTGGCACAGTGGTTAAGCACTCGGCTGCTAACCTTAAGGTCAGTTAGCAGCCACTCCACGGGAGAAAGATGTGGCAGTCAGCTTCCGTAAAAGATTGTTGTTGTTAGGTGCCGTTGAGTCCATTCTGTCTCATAGTGACACTGTGCAACAGAACAAAACATTGCCCAGTCCTGCGCTATCCTCACAATCATTACGCTTGAGCCCATTGTTGTAGCCACTGTGTCAATCCATCTCGTTGAGGGTGTTTCTCTTCTTTCGTTGACCCTCTACTTTACCAAGCATAATGTCCTTCTTCAGGGACTGATCCCTCCTGATAACATGTCTAAAGTATGTGAGATGAAGTCTCACCATCCTCACTTCTAAGGAGCATTCTGGCTGTACTTCTTCCAAGACAGATTTGTTGCTTCTTCGGGCAGTCCATGGTATATTCAATATTCTTTGCCAACACCATAATTCAAATTCATCAATTCTTCTTCAACTTCCTTATTCATTGTCCAGCTTTGGCATGCATATGAGGCGATTGAAAATACTATGGCTTGGGTCAGGGTCACTTTAGTTCTCAAGGTGACATCTTTGCTTGTTAACACTTTAAAGAGGTCTTTTGCAGCAGATTTGCCCAGTGCAATGCATTGTTTGATTTCTTGACTGCTGCTTCCATGGACGTTGATTGTGGATCCAAGTAAAATGAAATCATTGACAACTTCAATCTTTTCTCCGTTTATCATGATGTTGCTTATTGGTCCAGTTGTGAGGATTTTTGTTTTCTTTATGTTGAGTTGTAGTCCACACTAAAGGCTGTAGTCTGTGATCTTGATCAGTAAATACTTCAAGTTCTCTTCACTTTCAGCAAACCAGGTTGTGTCATCTGCATATCGCCGGTTGTTAATGAGTCTTTCCTCCCTAAAGATTACAGCCTTGGAAACCCTATGGGGCAGTTCTACTGTCCTATAGGATCACTGTGAGTTGAAATCAACTCGATGGTGACAGGTTTGGTTTGGTTTTTGAAATTTTCACCATTCTATTTTCCAAAATAATTTCTAAACCTATAAGAATTTTTCTAAAACTGTAAACAATGGAAATTGTGTACTAAATTCTATTTTTTGTCTTTAAAAAGGAGGAAATGTGCTAATCACTTTATCAAGGCAAACTATTCTTCAGCCCAAAGCAGATATACCTGCTTGTTTCGGACTTCTTGTTAGCCTTACCTTTGCCAGAGCTCTTAGTTTTCTCAATTATAATTGTCTCTTCGTCTGTCTCCGCAGCTATCTGTGAGCTCTTTGAGCACAGGGAGAGTGTCTTTTTAAAATAATTTTATCTCCAATACCTAGCACAGTGTCTATTACTTAGTGGCACTTAATACATTTAGGTGAATGAAGATATTAACAACTCAGTGTGGTGATTAACCTCAGATAGATTACATGACATGCCTCAAGTCACATCGTGGCAAGGTTGAAATTCAAGCACAAACCTGTTTGATTCCAAAAATCTATGCTCTTTCCAAAAAAAAAGCCATCCCTCTGTGTCCTCCAACATATTTTTCATGTTAGCATTGTCTGTCCTACAGCCATCGTCATTTTATAGCTATTATTTATCAGGTGCTTATTATATGTCAAGAGCTCTGGTGGCGCAGTGGTTAAGCACTCGGCTGCTAACTGAAAGGTCGGCAGTTCAGACCCACCAGCCACTGCACGAGAGAAAGATATGGCAGTCTGCTTCCGTAAAGATTACAACCTTGGAAACCCTATGGGGCAGTTCTACTCTGTCCTATAGGGTCACTATGAGTCAGAATTGATTCGAGGGCAGTTGGTTTTGTTTGTGTTATATGTCAGGCATTGTGCTAAGTACTTCACATATATGATCACACTTAATTCATAACATCCTCGTGAGATTAGTGCTATTACTATAGCCTTTCACACATAAGGAGACTGAGACCTAATGAGGTGAGTTAACTTGTACCTGCGAACTTTCATCCTATCTCCTCAGCAATGTTATTTTGCTGGTCAGTCCCTTTCTAACCAATTCAACCTTTCTTTCCCTATTAGCCCCTTCCCTTCAGCTGAGATTCTCCCATGGATAAACAAGGACAAAAAATAAAACTTAAAACGCACACACACACACACACACACACAAAGACAACCTTCTCTCAACCCTTCCATAGTGCACTTGTAGTTACCGGTCTTTCTGCTTCCTCCACAGCCAAGCTCCCCCATATAATAGTCTGCACTCACTGTCTTCCCTTCCTCACCTGTCATTAGTCGGTTGACTATTAATTCAA